TTGGTGAATGGCGAATAAACAAAAAATCATAGCCAACTAAATTATTCACAACTATTTTACGCTAATGGCCACCAACGTACAAACGTTCAACGTTTTGTCCGCCCGCAATTGAAATGGAAAGTTACGCTGCTGCTGCTGCTCGCCTTTGGAATTTTCACGTCATAATTTCATGAGTTACTACTTGTCGTGACGACGACGATGATGGTCTGGTGGATGGTCGGTGGTAACATTTTTCAACCAAATATGGATTTTAACACTTTTTTTTCGAAGAGATCAACTCAAATCGGTTGCCAGGTAACTGTGTTCCAGCCACTTCATTTGCTTGTGGGTTATTTGAACGCATAATGTCTGAGTGGCTGACAGGCTGGCGGGTGGACTGACTGAGGTCTTCTGATAATAACTCCAATTTTGGCGCTCCGACATAAAACAATCGCATGTTTAATGATTTTTTATAGTCTTTAATTTCTTGAAACATGTTTTGTTTTGCATTGTTTAATAACAACAATAATGATGGGGTTTATTTTGTTTTTATTTCTGTTTGCCTTTTTTAACTTAACAATAGAAAGTTATTTTTCTTCTTCTTCACTCTGGATATACTGACTTGGTTTCGTACCGCTGTTGGCGTCGTAATGGTGTTAAACACCTTCGCATGTCGATGCCATAATTATGAGTTAACTTACAGATCTTTTTTTCTCGACCAATTTTAATTCGAGTAAAGTTTAGGGTTAATTTATTCGGAAAACAAAATTTTAATTATTTTAGGAACTTGTTGCCATTAGCTTTTAGAGGAAATTAAAGAAATAAACTCTTTCGGCTTTGACGTTAATGACAGAACCAGATTTCTATGTTTTGACTAAAAATAAGTGAAAATGTTATTTCTCGAGTTATTTAGCTCAAATATTTGCTAATGATTTTTGGCTGTTGGGGAGATACCTAATGAAATGCTAGATCTAATTTTTTTAATTTGCGGAAAGGTGTTGGAAACAGGTAGAAAAATTGAACGAATCGATCATGTGATACTCTATGTTTTTCAAATAACATCGTGCAAGACAAAATTATTAAAGAAACTCTTTGCAGAAAATAGATGACACGTGTATCGACATTTTTATACCCTCCGCCATTCTATGGAGGATATATTAACTTTGTCATTTCGTTTGTAACTCCTCGAAGTACACATGTCAGACCCAACAAAGTATATATATATTCTTGATCAACGTAAAATTCTAAGACGATTTCGCCATGTCCGTCGGTCTGTCTGTTGTAATCACGCTATCTTTCGAACGAATTGAGATAGAAGGCTAAAATTTTGCACACATGCTTATTTTGCCAGTAGGCAGGTTAAGTTCGTAAGTTCATGTAAGTCCACTTTTTTTTTTTTTGTTTCAAATTGGTATTTGAAGTTCGAAATGGATACTACAGCCTAGGACAGAAAATTGTCTATGCAGGTCCACGTCCTCGTATAGCCCCATATAACTGTGCCTCCAGATATTCAGTATTTTGTTGATTTTTTCCCCGGAATTGTTTCAAATTTGGTATTTGAAGTTCGTAATGGATACTACAGTCTTAGGCTAAAAAATGTCTATGCAGGTATAGCCCCCATATAACGGTACCTTCCTATATTCGGAATTTTGATAATTTTAGCGAAATTTTTCACCGGAGTAGTTTCAAATTATGTATTTAGAGTTCGTAAAGCGAACTACAGTATGTAATACAAAAATTTTTTATGCAGGTACAGGTCTTCGTATAGGCTCCATACATCAATAACTCCCTAAAAATTTGGATATTTGGATATTTTTAACTCTTATAAAATGCGATGTACGAGTCCGATATTCTTCAAATGACACATATCACAATATTTGTATTAATCCAAGGTCTGGAGTGAAGATGGTATATATCGGTATACTCCTTCTGAACCGATCTTGATGAAATTTAGCAGAGGATTATCTGGAATGTATCTGATATTTGGTTCGAAATATCATTGTTGTAAAGTTCCCATTACGAAATTGAGGGACTTAAAACCCAAATCGTGGAGCTATAGCTATATTTGAACCGATTTTCACCAAGTTTGAAGAGCATGCTTCCAGGCTCAGTTTGGTCCAAAGTGCCAAAATTCACTCCATTTAGATTGATATTAACCATCTGGTGAACAATAAAACTGAAATCGGACGAAAATATATATTGGAGCTATAACCAAATCTGAACCGATCTTGATAAATCTCGACGTATACACTGCTAGGCTCAATTTTGTCGTACCTGCAAAATTCCATCCTATTTGGATTTATGCCACACATTTGGTGCACAATAAAAAACAAATCGGACGGACGTATAAATGGGAGCTACATCGAAAACTGATCCGATTATCTCCAATTTTAATAGAGTTGGTCCTTGGGCCAATCAAATGAGCTGTGTAAAATTTTGTCCAATTTATGGTCTATTACATCCGCTAAATATTATTCGATCACAATCCAAATTTATAGTTTTCTGTCCAGTCCCAATCTCAAATCCATGTTAAATTCCTAGTCGATTGGTATATACTTATGACCTCTAGAGAAACTGCACAATTATTCTGTGTTTGATCTATTGAACCCCTTAATATTTGGCGATCATCTCCAAAAGCAATAGGCTTCTATTCTGACCTTTACTCCACTTCCAATCGAAATTTCGTAAGGACCGGTGAGGGGTAAAAAATCAAAGGCTTGTAGATTGCAATCTTTCTACATAATTTATGTAGAAAAGAGAGGGTATGTTAAGATTGTTCTTCCGTTTGTAACACCTCGAAATATACATATTAGACCCCACAAAGTACATATATTATTGATCAGCATCAAATTATATGTCGATTTAGCTATGTCCGTCCATCTGTCCCTTTATGTGGAAATCACTCTAGCTTCCGAGCAAAATGAAGTAGGTTTATATAATTTCACTCAAATGTATATTATGTCTGCAGAACTTTTATTTATTTTACTTATTGAAAATGGGCCACGTAGGTAAACGTTTTGGTATAGCCCCCATATAACGGTACCTCCCGATATTCGGTATTTTGACGATTTTAGCGACATTATCACCGGAATTGTTTCAAATTTGGTATTTTAAGTTCGTAATGGATACTACAGCCTTTGATTGTCTGTGCAGGTCCACGTATTCGTATAGCCCCCATATAACAATATGCGGTATTTTAATGATTTTATCTACATTATTACCGATTTTTATAGCCCACACCACAAGGTTGTTAGGGTATTATGTCTTTGTGAATTTGTTTGTAACAGGCAAAAGGAAACGAGATAGACCCATAGTTCATTTTGATGATCTACATAGAATCACATTCTGACTCGGTTTATGCATGTCCGCTCGCCCGTCTGACCATGTATTTTTGTAAACAAAGTACAGATCGCATTTATTGCCCGATTCACAAATAACTTGTTTGGCCCAAGGACGAACCCTATAGAAATTGGAGATAATCGGTAAAAATTTTGATATAGCTCCCATATATATCTTCGTCCGATTTGCCTTTTATTGTGCACCAAACGTGTAATATCAGCCCGAATAGTATGGAATTTTACACATACAACCAAATTAGGCCTGAAAATAAGTATTCCAAATCGGTTCGAAATCGGTTCAGATATAGCAATAGCTCCCATATATATTGGTCATCCGATTTGTTAGTTTTATCCTCCGCAGCTGTAATATGCACGCTGTAACAACAATATTTGGAGAAAATTATCAAATACAGCTCAGAAATACCTTTACTAAATTTTATCGAGATCAGTTCAGAGTTGGATATAGCTCCACCAAATGGGCAATTCAAGTCCGAATTTAAAAGATACAAATGCTTCGGCATATTTAGTCCTTTGAACTTTAAATTATAATTATAATCATAGCGTGTATAATTGAAATCTCCCAAAAAACGTTTAACTTTCTACTAAATTAGCAAAGTGGTTTAGGGTATCATAAAGTCGGCCCCGCCCGACGTTAGGACTTTCTTAACTGTTTTTTTTTTTTAAGTTTGGCATTTGAATATTGTAATGGCTTATGACAAATGTTACCTATGCAGGTCCATGTCGTCGTATAGGCCCTAATATACTCCCTCATTCGTATTTTTAAGATTTTAACAGAATTTTTAACGCATGTTAGTGTTTTTGAGAAATTCCGAATTCGTTCTAAATGGTGGAGGGCATTCAAGTTCGGGCCAGCCGAACTTTCAGCTTTTTTACTTGTTTATTTTCAAAAATAGTAAGATTTTCAATTTTGGAGCAAAATCGGATGATCCTCTCTATTTCTAATAATAAGAAGAAGAAAAATATTTTCTTTTAAAATGTTGGCCAATGTAGTCCATCTCCGAACTAGATCTAAATTTGACAATTTGGATCAAATCGCATACTCCATTCGCGCATCAAAGTCAGACAGACAAATGGACGCACAGACACACCTAGATCGACTCCAAATGTTCTGAAACAATTTTGGTCCAAGGAGAGCTAGGGTCTAAAACGGTTACTTCGATAAGGCACGTTTTGGCTGCATCAAATGATATTTACCCTCTGTAGCCATATGACTGAGAGTATAAAAATGTTTCTTTTCTTTAATTTAATGTATATCTGGATAGTCGTAGTCGTTAAAAATATAACTTTGGAGTGGGAGTCTGATCAAAAAAGGCTCGTATCCGCAGTCCGGTATGATCGGTTTGTTAAAAATTACCATTCCGTTTGTAACAACTCCAAGTTTTGTCGAAAACCCCATTAAGTACAACTTCGTTCTCAGTATATAATTCCAATTCGGTAAAGGATGTCCATCCATTTATTCGGTCGTCGGATGAAATCAAGATAAATGAATCAAATTGCTTTGATCTTTTGCGGTAATCTTAAAATTTAAGTTAATTAGATATTCGATTACAAAGTGAACTTTTGGGCTGACCTCAAGTCCTATATAATTAAATTGTAAAGACCTTCAAATATATTAACCTCAAAAAATATTTTGTAATGATAATTCAAATCTATGTTACTTACTTTTTCTTGTGTTCAAATAAATATCCAAAATATTTCCAATAAATTAATAATCCCTTTTATTTCAATTATTTAAAATTGTTTCAAGTTAGTTAATCCAAGTGCCTCTGGTCATTACTGCGAAGATCTCCAACGACGATTTAATTGAAAATAGACGGGGGAATCACCATTTAACAATCATACCCACAATCTTCAATGTAACCACATACATACACACACACAATTTCATAGAATTCACTTCTATTATTATAAATCGATTAATAATGCATTAACTGACATGTAAAATATAAATTACACGGATTACAACAACACTGAGGGCAATTTAGTTAATTAATATTTGTATGTACGTGATGTTTCTACTTCTTGTCAATCTCATTCAAGAGAATTTTTTTTATTATTATTTTATTTAGTTTATTTTTTAATTTTTTGAAAACACATAAAAGGGTTATTATTGTTTTTTTAGGGGAGAGTAAGTGTTCGTTTTATTTTAAATATTTTTTTTTTTTCAATTTCAATTTCAATTCAATTTATTTTTTTTCCAAGAATTCAATAATTTTTATTTTTTTTTTATTTTTTAAATCCAGATTTAAATTTTGTTCAGCATCAAATATATTTTTTCAATTTCATTTCAATTCAATTATTTTTTTTATTTTTTTCCAAGAATTCAATTATTTTTGTTTTTTTTTTTATTTATTTTTTTTTTTTTTTTTTGAAATCCACATTTAAATTTTGTTCAGACTCAAATATGTCGTTGTTTATTTCACTGAATTTGAAAAATATTTTTTTTTTTGCTAATTAAATTTTATGGCGCAGATTTGCAAATTTGTTTAAAATATCCATTAGCATGTTATTCACATATTCGTTTTTTTTTACAAAATTTTCAAAATAAGCGCATACTTTTTTCATTCAACCGCGCACAACCGACAGTGAATTTTAAATCTGATTTTAGGAATCAAAAAAAAAAATCCCATCTCTAATGAGAATTTTATTCAAATGCAGTCTGGGGGTTCACTCCATCTGCGGATTCTCAATTCTCTGTTCGATGTGTACGTGTTCTCACTGCAACGATAGACGGAAATGTACTGATTGAACTGGGGCTGAACGCATTGTCAACACTGAAAAGAAGAAGAACTTCGTGGCCGCCGCCATTGAGGATGGTGCTGGGAAAGTCTCCACTCCACTCTACTCCACTTTAAAATTAAATTCAATTGAAAACAAAAACAAGAAAAACGAAATATCCGAATTTTGTTGTTTGGGGGAGAAGAAAAGATGAATGAATGAATGAACGAACCAACAGACACTTCTTCTGATGGCTGGGCTGGCAGGCTGCTTGGCTGGCTGACGGTCTAACTGACACTAATTGTTTACTGCCGCTGCTGCTGACGTCGTCGTCGTCGCCGCATGGCTGCTGCTGCTACAGCTCTTATGGATCAGTTTTAGTTATTCATTGCCTAGACAGCTGTTCTCTTGTTGGCTGGAGTCATTCATGGCAGCTCGGTAGATAAGTCACCAGTCAGCCAACCAACCAGCCATCCCACCAACAACCACACAATGACACCGTGGAATAAAATCAAAAAACACATTTTTCCTTTTCTTTTTCATCTGTCGGAGATTAAATCCCTCCGAACTGCTCTTCAATTGTGTGTGTTTTTCATTGTTTATTTTTGGAGTAGTTTCTTGTTGTTATTGTTATGTGAATTTAGGTTGAAGGCGTTAATAATGTTTGGAAGAAAGAAAGGTGGCTGGATTTAAAAATAAAAGAAAAAGTAGGTATTGTTTTGAAGATGTCTGTTGGTGTTTTTGTAGTTGTTGTTTTGAGGCCGTTTGGGCGTCGTGGATTTTAGTTGTAATATTTTCTTCTCGGAGATTTAACGGTAAAACAAGTAATTTAACGTTAATATTGTACCTCAAAAGATGTAGAGGAAAATTTAGATCGAGTTGGAAGTAAATGTCTCTCAGTGACGAACTTTAGAAAGATATTTTTTTTGTCAAAATAATGAAGTAAAAAATGTGGGTTATTCCAAAAAGTGGAGCACTATTGGCAATTGATATACCCTCCACCATACCCATCCATTGTATTAGGATTGTAAAGCGATTTAGCGACATCCGTCCGTCTTTTTATTCTGCCACATTTTGAAACAAAATTAGCTAAAATTTGGCAATTGGGGTTATCGCCACGTATGTTCTCTCCTTGCAAACATTTTTCGATTAGGGTCCGATAATTGGAGTAGTCCCCATTCAGTGGAACATCCTGATTTTCGTTATTTTGAAGGTTTCTGCTACAATTTCCAAAAAAATTTTCGCTAGTGGTCCACTTATTGATATAGCACCCATGAAATGATACCTCTAGAGGTTCTCTTTAGGTTTCATCATCCATTGATACAACACACATATAACGGAACTTCCCGATTTTCGGTATTTTAAAGGTTTGTGCCACAAATTTGAAGCAAATTAAATGAAATTTGACAATTGGGGTTCTGGGAAGGTATGTTCTCTACTTGGGGAAAATGTTCGGTTAAGGCCCTCTAATTGATATGCACCCCATATAACAGTACCTCCCGATTTTTGGTATTTTTGAGGTTTCTGCCACAATTCAACAACGAAACAGCTGAAACTTTACATTTGGGGTTCTTGGTAGGTCGGTTCTATTCCAGGTCCATTAATTCGTATAGCCCCCCAATGGTGCCACAATTTTCAACCAATTTACATGAAATTTTACGATTGGGGTTCTCAGTACGTTTTTTTTTTTTTCTCCTTGCGAAAAATGTTCGCTACAGATCCACTAATTGGTACAGCCCTCATGAAATGGCACCACCCGATTTTCGGTATTTTTAAAGGTTTCTGCCTTTTAGCTAAAACTTTACATTTGGGGTTCTTGGTACGAATTTTCTTTCCTCGCAAAAAATTTTCGATTCAGGTCCACTAACTGGTATAGCCCCGTGTAGTGGTACTTCTCGATTTTCGATATTTTTGAGGTTTCTGTCACCATTTTGAACTAAATTAGATGAATCTCTACAATTGGAGTTCTTGGTAGGTCTGTTCTATCCCTGCAATATAGCCCCATGTAATGATACCTCTCGATTTTCGGTATTTTTGACAATTGGGGTTCTCGGCAGATATGTTTTCTCCTTGCCAAAAATTTTCGATTCAGGTCCACTAATTAATACAGCCCACATGTAATGGTACCTATCAATTTTCGGTATTTTTGAGGTTTGTGCCACAATTTCCAACCAATTTAGATGAAGCTTTATAATTAGGGTTCTCGGTAGATCTGTTGTATCCCTACAGAAAATATTCGCTACATTTCCACTAATTGGTACATCCTCCATGTAATGGTACCTCTCGATGTTCAGTGTTTTTGAAGGTTTCTGTTATAAAATCCAACCAAATTAAATGAATCTTGACAATTGGGAATCTCGCTAGGTCTGTTCTATCCCTGGTCCACAAATTCGTATGGCCCCCTTTATAACGGTACCTCCCGATTCTCGGTATTTTTGAGGTTTGTGCCACAATTTCCAATCAAATTAGATGAAACTTGACAATTGGGGTTCTCTATAAGTCTGTCCCACACCTGCAAAAAATATGCGGTACAGGTCCATTAATTGGTATAGCCCCCGTGTAATGGTACCTCTCGTTTTTCGACATTTTTGAGATTTCTGTCACCATTTTGAACTAAATTAGATGAAACTTTACATTTGGGTGTTTTTGGTACATCTGTTCTCTCCCTGTAAAAAATATTCGCTTCTTGTCCACTAATTGGTATAGCCCCCATGTAACGGTACCTCCAGATTTTCGTTATTGAGATTTCTGCCAGAATTTCCAACCTAATGAGCTGAAAGTTTATATTTGGGGTTCTTGGTAGGTCTGTTTTTTTCCTGCCAAAAATATTCGCTACAGGCCCACTATTTGGTACGGCCTCGATGTATGGATTTTCCCGATTTTCAGTATTTTTGATGTTTTTATAGCAATTTCCAACAAAATTAGCTAAAACTTGAGTTCGGAAGGTATGTTCACTTTTTGCAAAAAATATCCGAATCAGGTCCCCATAGCGGCTAAGGCGAGCCTCCAAATAACGGTTTTAGACCTCCGGTTTCTTTGGACCAAATCCGTTTCAGGATATTTTGAGTCGGTCTAGGGTGTTTGCCTTTCAGGCTGGCTGGTGCGCACGATAACTGGGTACATCGTAATATTATTGTCAAACTTAGCTCGATTTGAAGATGAGCAATATCGGTCCATTCCCTATGGTACCTCCACCAAAAAAGGTCTACATTTTCGAAAAAAATGTTTTCCAGCACAGAAAGAGAAAGGATAATCCGATTGTGCTCCAACTTTGCAAATCTTAGGTCATGTGCGAAAATGGACAATACCGTCCCCCTCCATCAAGTAACTACCCAACAAAGGGTAAAAATATGAAATAATTATAACTCTTATGTAAAATCTCAAATAAAAGTCTGATTGTTTTCAAATTTGGCACATCCCAATATTTTCTCCTACACAAGATCTCGTATGAAGAACGGATATAACGGACCGCTCCTTGTGGTATCTCCCCCATAACTGATCAAAACTTTTGAATAACAACGAAGCTTACAAAGTGACGCGAAATGACCTACGGATTTCTTTCAAACTTGGCACATTCCAATATTGCTATTAACACACGATCCTGTGTGAAGATGGGATATATTCGGTCCACTTGTTCAGATACCTCCTCCACAACAGGTCAAAATGTTGAATAATTTTAACTTGTATAAAATATAAAATAAGAGTCCGATTGTGTTCAAAATTTGAACTTCTTACCACACAAGACTAGCTGTGATGATGGGATATATCAGTTCTCTACTTCTCATACCTCTCCCAAAACGGGTCAATATTTGGAATATCCGTGAAGCTCTTAAAACGCGAAATTAACATCTGATTCCATTCAGACTTGGTACATCTCAATATTTCCATCAACACAAGATCTGATATAAAGATGGTGGAGATCGGACCACACCTTCTGGCACCTCTCCCACATCGGGTCAACATTTTGAATAGTAAAATGGTAAATAAACATCCGACTCTTTAAAAATTCCATACATTCCCAATATTTTTCTTTACACAAGATCTGGTGTGAAGATAAGATGTATCGACCTACTCCTTCAGGTACCTCCCCCACATAGAATTGTAATTTTCAGTATTTACATATCTCATAACTTGCGAAACAAGTCAGCGATGCTTTTCAAACTTGATACAAATAAATATCTCTTGTAACCAGGTATCTAATGTGAATAAGGAATCTATGCGCCAACACCTTCTGGCACCTTCCCCAGAAAAGTTGAACATTTTGACTATCATTTATTCGCATAAAAAATCTACCGGTTCAGCAAAACGAATATTGTACCAATTTTAGTACCATTTACTACACATGTAGCAATCTTATTTCCAAATTTGAGCGTTCCAGCTTTATCGGTTCTCCCATATCGAAGTTGTACCAACTTAAGTACCATTCAGAATTTTTCATACAATTATAGTACACATTTCCGAAACCATCTTCATATGTCCAGAATTAGCGAATCTAATACATATTACAGATTTAAAGTACTATTCGTTCAACCAATATCAAATTATAGCCAGTACAGTAGTATTTCGTACCTTTCGTGCACATAAGTACAAGATTAGAAAATTACCTCCATATCCCAATCATACACTCCGCCCGTTATGTTATTTTCAATTTTCAGTATTCCATCTCCATCCGTTCCCCAAATTCAAATTTTACCAAACTTAGTACAGTTTAGTACTTTTCGTTCCAAAATTACCTCCTTACATCGACCCTACTCCTCAACCATGAAATGCTAACAAATATGGAACATTTTAGTACTTAACGAGCACTTATAGTGCGAATTTGCGAAAATTCTTCGATACACCCACCCTGTGTCCAAATTATTGAGTTCCAGCCCTACTGGTTCGTCAAATACAAGGGGTACCATATTCAGTACCTTTTAGTACCATTCTAGTACGAATTTCCAAAAACCCCAACCTTATTTGACACCTTCGAACCAAGAGTGACCCTGACGCAAAATTTCTAGCTTCAGCGTGTTGATGTAACGTTAAGATAGTCAGTAAGTCTATCAGTGAATATAGTTTTTGATAAAGATCTCGTAGCTACTGGGGGTATTAAAAAATTGTCACAACGAAACTTTCCGATTTTTAGGTTTTTTAGAGAACGTATTTAATATTTAACCGGAAAGCCTGGGTTCTAGATCTACCTAAACGATCTGAATCGGATTGGAAATTATAGCAAAAAAATCGATTTTGCGGACACGATTTTTTTATTAAAGCCTAAATAGGTCGCAAATCGTCACAATATCGTGGTTCAAAGTAGGTGTTATTTCCTGCCCTGGATCCACAGATATTTTATACTTAAAAAGGCCGTCCTGGGTTGATTGTGTTCTCTGTGTGTATGTATATCCCAAACATGTTCACTATCCCTTCTTTACCGAATTTTGAGGCGAATTTTCGATGCTTTTAATATA